TTCTATCGTAGTAACTCATTTTGCCCATGTTATACATTGCATTTATCTTCGTAAATAGGTGTCAACCCTCTTACGTATAATGAAGAAATAAAGGCTTTTCAAAACCGTTTCGATCGATACCCCTTATTATAATAATTCATTTAACTTATAAATAATTGGTATTTAATTATTTATTAGGTGGCAACCCTTTTCAAAAAAACAAAACGTTGTTTCACATCTATAGGCCAAGCCTTTTAATTTGATACCTCATTTTTAAAAATCGAACTAACGGTACAGATCTGATGGTATGACTATGTAGGTACTTATGTGCATAGAATACTAAAGGAGAAACAGATCACTTTAACTCCAATCAACGTATGTATGTATGTATGTACATATGCTGCGATAAGGTTAGAAATATTTCCCTGGAGCTGTGCCATCTCTTACTCAAAACCTGAAATAAACGCACATACATTTTGTCTCCTTCTCTCAGTGATTTTGTATGGAAAATCATTTATACCCATATATTTGAATAAAATAAACATACATAGAAGATATCAACCAATACTTCCCATATACCAAACGGAACGAAAAAACCTGAGTTTTTGACTAAAGAAAACAGAAACAAAATCATTCCAGCGGTAATAAAAAAAATTTGCTAACTTTTTCAACAATTTTTTGCCTTAAAATTTCAATAACTATTTGTTGAACTTATATAAAATTTGTACACGATAATATTTCTGTTGCTCCAAGTAACCTATATCCCGAAAATGTAAGTTATATCTACCAACCATAAGTTGCTAGAGCACTTTATAGGCTCAAAATTGACCCCAAACCAATATTTACCATTGTTTCGACGACAGAAACCAGATTGGTTATTTGCAAAAAAAAATCTGTCGACAGGTTTGGAATTTTATCTTTAAAATGCCAAACTTTTCTTTGAAATCGCTGAATTAGTTCTCGTGCAATAAGCGTTTTCGTAGAGCTCTAAAAATTACAACTACAACATTTGTGCATAGCCTCCATATCGAAACGTAAGACGTAGTCTACGTCAAAAGAATATAGGATTACGAATATTACTTCACATTTAAAGTTGGTTTAGGTACACCGTCGATAGTTCTTGTTTTTAATAAAAATGCGAATGAAGTGCCCTAAAAAGTAATAGTTATTTTGGGGGAATTTTATCAGGAATTCGGGGGAATTAGCCCTAAATGCAACTTCGAACGGCGATAGTATTTTTATCAGAAACTGTTTTTCATGGCAGAAATACACTTGGAGGTTTGCCATTGCCTGCCGAGGGCCTACCGCTATTAGAAAAAAACTAAGTTCGTTTTTTTTATTTTGTTGGTGCTGGGTTGAACCGGGCATGTACCAAAAGCAATGTACCACAAAGGTCGCGTGTTTATACTTAGTTAGTTAGTTAGTTAGTTATACTTATACACCGAATAAAAAAGTCTTTCATTGAATGACAACGTATGATTTTTCTTGCAAAATAATGGGGCATGAAAAGTTCTATCAGGCCACATTTTTTATGCCAAAAAAAAAATTTACATCAGTAATGAGAACGGAATGACAATCACATGATACTAAAATTTGAATACATGCACTGCGATATCTACATTTGATAAGTTTTTATGATTTAATGAAAACGCATTTGACACCAAATGAGCAGCCGTTAGTTTTGGCAGTGTTTGATGCCAGTAATTTTGACATAATGACATTGTTAAGAGTCCTGGAGCAATAGTTTACGCTTCAATACTTGGAACGAATGCGGTTTATTTTTCAAGAACTTTACAGCAAATGGGGACTTAAGCGAAAATCTCAATTATATGCATATTAAAAATGTGAAAATTTAACATTTTCTGCAAAAATTTAGTTTTCAAATATCTCATGCATTGCAATATCATTCCATCCCAAACACACTGTTTTAGCATGTCGTTGCTACTTAGCATTCCTCAGAGGATACGTTCAAATCATCAGATGTGAATATTAAGTCCAATATTCTAGAGTTTTTATTTAAAAGCGGGATACGTCGTTGAATCCGTACGAACAATAAGGTGCTAACATCATAAATACCTATATCTGACCTAAGATTTCTTCTTCTTGGGCTCTGTAATCGCCTAAGCGCTTATGACCGAGTTCAACAAAACTCGTCAGTCGCTCCTCTGTGCCAACTGACGCCACTTGAAAACGGCAAGTGAAGCCTAGTCCCTCTCCACTTGGTATTTCCATAGCAATGCTACCAGCAACGGGTTCCGAGTTGAAAACTTTCATATTGTTTTCAATATATAAATATATTTATTCAATTAATTGTATGCCTGTTCTCAAAAACACTAAAAACTGGATGCAGTTTGTTACTTTTGGTTCTTTTTTTTTTAATTAAAAATATTTTGTCTTAAAATCTATTCCATGCGATTTAGAAACGTTCCAAAAATGTGTTTGTGCTACATTATCATTTATATTCTCATAATTATTTGTCCTATTTCAAAACAAAAATGGTCTACGATCGTAGACCAGGTGACTATTGGTGTAACTATTTACCACGTGGCCATCGAAGGGTTAAAGAGAGTGGTTTTCGTACGTCGAGAGAGGAGTTTACTTCTGAATTGCCTACTTAGTCCAAAGTAGCAATTGTTGTCGGGGTTGATGCAACGAAATTCCCTACTTTCTCAAAATTATAACTGTCAACAGTGACGTGGGTACCGAGGCGCGAATGAGCTGACTGTTTGTTTGATGACAGGAGATACTTGGTTCGAGTCGATATTTGGGCTTCGGAGTGTACGTACGTCTAAAACACTGGAAGCATGCCTTCCATCTATTACAATATGATGGATTTGGTTTCTCGTTTTTTGATTTGAAGACCGCCACGTAGCTTGATGGATCATGTTTCGGGCCAGCTGAAGTAGGCCAGTCCGTTTTCGGACGTTTCGTCATGGAGCCTGAATTTTCCGACAGTAGCGCCATCCTTTACTACATTGGCATTGAAATCGCTAAGCACGATTTTTTATCGTCTCGGGGCATATTTACGCTCCAAGCGCTCATACAATAGATCCTTGGGCGCCTCGTCCCTCTCTTCCATCGTGGCATTGACACAGATGTGTGAGATGTTGAAGAAGCTGGCTTTGATGCGGATTGTGGCTAGACGCTCGTCCACCGGGATGAACGTCAGTACTCGCCAACGGAGTATCTCTCCCACCACAAATTCAACATCGAATTCGCGCTCCTATAGATGGCTGCGGTATTGGACGTCGCAAGGCCCCAGAAATTCCTTGCCTTGCTCCGTCCAACGCGTTTATTGGATGCCGGTGATGTCAGCTTTTGTTCTTACGAGGACATCAACCAGCCGGGCAGAGGCCCCTTTCCCATTAAGGGTCCGGACATTCCAGGTGCATGCCCTCAAATCGTATGCCACACCGAAGCTCCCTCTCTTTCTTCCTTTACCCAAGGCTCCACTCGGATTGATTACCGCATCTCGCATATGGCTTGCTCACGGTGCCCAGAGGGCGTGAACGAGGACACAAGAGTCGCGATTGTGTATAGTCTATACTTAGCTATTATCCATACTTTTCCATTTACAGTGAAACCCACTTAAGTAATCTTGTAAATCGGGAAAATCTAGCATGGCTGTGGACAAAATCAAGTCGCACACCACAAACTAGAGGATAACCTCGGCCAAACACTTTGAAATACATAGACTCACTCGTCCTCCATTCGTCATTTAGCAACATAAAAATATGTATGAATGTACTCATATATATTTCGTATGAAATTTTGAATGCCAAAATGCGAATAGGTACATATATTATTTCGCCTGAAATGAAACGAGCAAAACATCAAAATATGCAAATTGGAATTTCGATTCGCAAAACATATCTACAAGTGTAGATACATACACGCAACACTACTCGCATCGTTGAACAGCCGTCAACCGAACAACCAGCGTTGCTGCTCACAACCCGCTGCAACCCACTTCAGCCCCACAAATCCAAGTATGTAGTAGTGCAAACCATCCATCCAGACATCCTTACGTTCATCCAACTATCCATACGTCCATCCATCTGCGCATACAACATCCGTATCCTTCGTAATCAAGTAACATCGCAACTTCGATTCACAGCAACCGCAGTTAACCCCGTTTCATTTTGTTGCTTTGTCTGCTGCATTTTCCTCGTCGTCTTACTCCGTTGATTTCCTATTATCCTTTTTTGCCTCTTCATTATTCGTGTTACATCCCCTTCAGCGTTGTCGTTTGTTGTTTATCGTTGCTGCTGGTGTTGTTGTAGTCGAAAATCAGCATATCCTCCAGCACCAGCATATTATCCTGTATTTTAATATCGGCACATTTCGTTATTCTACATTTCGTCATTCTCGCATTTCTCGTAGCTCTTTCCAGCGCTCAGCCCGACCGCATCAGTTGTGCTTTGCTCTCTTCACTATTCGCAGGGGAAGTATTGGACACGACCAATGCGCATGCTCAAGAATTCGTTGACTCCATGAAACAGGCAGCAGTGCGTACTTGGCAGTGCATTTGCTCTCCTTCAGTCAACAGTCAGGATACGCAGGCATTTCAGTCACTCGCAAGTCGCTAAGTGTATTGATTTGAGTTTACTGGCAATTGTAACCGAGAGAGAGAGAGGGTAGGTGCTTGAAATGTACAGAGCATTGTACTTTTGTTGTTGGTAGTCACACTCAGGTAGCTCAGCAAAGGATGGGTAGGCATAATTACTTTTGGAATGGCATGGGAATGGAACGAAAAAAGCAAATTAACAGAATTGTGCCTTCTGTGTGTGTCCGTATATGCCCCATAATGAAACAAAGAGCAGCGCATACAATTTTTTGGTATACGCACACATTCACACTTAAGCCGACATATTCGAGTGCATATACAAATTTCGTAGTGTTTTCTTTGTCAGATTTAATGACGTAATGGACAGTGAGGTAGTCCAACGATTTCCTCGCCTTGTCTTGCCACTCTTCCCCGCCCCCTGTGCCATAGCAATTAAGCAACAGTTGTAATTAAATGAAACTGGGTTTCGAGTTCAAGGTAGGCCAACGAACTCGGGCAGTGTTCAAAGTGTGCGATTGTGGTTGGCAGAATTCGGATGCTTTTTGGCAAAAGCAAATTTTTGGTGAAACATTGTGGCGAATATACATACATACGTACTTAGTATGTATACAATATTAAAATATTTGGGTGTTGATAATGTTTTAACAAGTTTTAAATTAAAAGCTGAACAAGTTTATTGGAAAATCTTAAACGTTTTAAAAAAAGAGTTTATTTGTAGTTCAATATGTATAGGTACATATACACCAGTACGAACTTGTGAAAACTAATCCGAAGTTTTACCCAGTGATTGTTTTTGTAACTTTCAATCATTTTCACTAACGCAAAATTGTGGGAATTTGATTCGATTCCAATGAAAAATCTCAAATTTATTTTTTGCGACTTTGCTGTCAATAGCGCTCTTACGCAATATGTATTTGCATATGTATGTAAATGCTACTTTTCTGCTACCTTCTAATATATGATACATACGAGTAGATACCAAAAAGTAGCATTTACATATGTAAATACATATCGTGTAAGAGCGTTGTAAGCGAAAATTTGTTCATACCAGTGTTGACATCAATCGACCGAGATTTTTATATAAATAGACCAAAGGTAACTGTAACTGATGTTTAATCAGCATATGCAGCTTAAATTAATTTAATTTATTATGAAGGAGCTGAAGCACCGATTGTAATTCTGCAACGAAAAAACTTCTCAAAAACAGAGGCAGCATAATGATTCAATAACATAAGGTTAGATAATTATTGACAGCCGAGTTTTGTGATTGAATTTACGAAGGAAGGAGAAAGGGAACAGAATCATATTTTTTTGTTACGAAAATGGTAGAAAGGCAATTAGTATCTAGTATCTTTTGTAAATGCTGTTGTAATGTAAAGAAATGTAGCGTTTGAAACGAAATATTGAACAAAATATTAAGAAATATACGTGAATTATGTAATTTATGTGCTATTTAGTGGTATAAAAACTTGGAAAGGTTCCAAAATTTAAATAAAATTATGGCAAATTTTATGAAATCTCGTTTTGGTGGGGAAAATAGGGGATATTTTGAAAACTGAATTAATCGTAGCGCTTTCGACAGAAGCAGCATTTTCATACGAAACAAAATGGTTTTGAAAGCTAAAGTAATTTCCTTTCACCAAAATATAAAAAAATTGGTCAAAAATAGAGTTATTCGAAAAAAAAAACACCGGATATATTTCAAAACAAAAAATTTATGTATTTTTTATTATATTAGTGTTATAGATTTTGAGACGAGCAACACGATTCCACTGTTCAAAATACGAACACAAATTTCAACACCATATAATTGATTTCCACCAACCCTTAACTGCAGTTTATGCCGTTTGAAAAACAGAGATTACAACTCGAAGCAGGTAACTCCACCTATTAAGTAGAAGAAAACGAAAGGAAAAAAGCAAAACTTAAGGAAAACACCTTTCCGATCACCCCATGTTGGAATTATGGGAACTTCTCTGAGCTCTTAACTGCAGTTAAGCTTTTGGTGGAAATAGGCTATTAATTTAATAAATGCATTATTTACTGCATTTTTTCTATTTGCATGCAGCTGTGCATACTTCACAAAATTTTATATACCTACCTCAAACTATAAGTGGGGTTTAGTGCAATTCAAGGCCTTTAATTTAAGCCAAGGTAGAAGCCTCTAGACCCTCTGAGAGCCCAGTCATAATAATTTTCAACTAAACTTCGAAACTGCTGTACTAATTTTTACTCCGAAATTAGAAAAAACTTGCGTAAAATGTCGAATGAAATTTCGAAGTTTAACAACAGAATCGTAATAATTTAGCTCTCAATGGGCCTAAAGACTTCTAAAAGACCTTCCCAAAGACCTTGGCTAAAATGAAAAGCCTTGAATAGCACTAAAACTCACTTGTTGTTCGAGGGATATAAAACTGTATGAAGGATGCACAGCTGCATGTAAATCATAAAAAAAGCATTATAGTGTAATGCATTTTTCAAATTGAGGGCTTGACATTTTTTTCGTTTATTAAACAGTGGAATCGTGTTTCCCGTCTCCAAATTTATAATATTAGTATAATAAAAAATACAAATTTTATTTTTTTTAATATATCCGTTGGATTTTGCAGGTTTTTTTTTCGAAGAACACTATTTTTGACCAATTCGTTTAAGGTCAAGGAGTAATTGTGGCTCAATGGCAATATTTTTCCGTGAGAGGCAATCACATTAGCTTTCAAAGCCATTTTGTCTCATAATAGAATATTGTTTCTGTCGAAAGCGCTACGATTAAATGGCATGAAGTGTTAAAAAAGCACACCATGATACAATGATTTTTAGAAGGTAGTTTCACTTCTTCTTCTTATCCGCCATGTTAGCTATCTGACAGAAAACGTGTTTCGTATTTTTTGTTGTATCAACTTAAAAAAAAATCCAGCTTTTGACGTTGGAAAAATAAATAGTAATTTTGGAATATTTTTAATAATTTTCTTCATAAAAAATTAACGGCTGCTTTCGTGGCAGACTTTATCGGCCGCTTATTTAAATAATAGGGTTCGCTTTAAATATGTACATGAAGATGTGTGGAGGTGCGCACACTACACCAGCTTAATCGCTCCGAGAAATAAGTTGTGGTGCAATGGAAAGACTAGCGAGCCCATCTAAATCGGCGGCCGATAAAGTGCGTGGTGTGCGATGGATCTAATACATTATAAACAAGAAATATTGCCGTTATATTTTAATTTTTATGATTTTTATTCATGTGATTAGCAGTGGCATAAATTTATGTATTAAATACGTATATTTATATTAAAAATTGAGTGATCAGTTATGAAACATATAAATCTTTACATGTTCTGTTAAAAAATATCTAAAATAACAAGCGAAAATCCCTAAGTTCTATATCGTAGCAGTGGCAACATTGCGTGTTTGTCACAGACACGGTTTATGTCAAAAATTGTGAAGTGAAACTACCTTCTAAAAATTATTGTATCATGAAGCACACTGTGTGCCGTTGAGCTAGCTCGAATATCTTATTTCTCAGTCGCGAAATGTAATTTTGAAACTTTAAAATTACTAGGTGTATTTTTCTCAAAAAAAAATATGACACAAAACATATGATTTATAAAAATATAATTCATTTATAAACAATATATAATATAATATAATAAAATGTCTATCATACTTGGGCGTACAAAATTTTTGATTTTTATTTTTCCCCCCAAAACCGAGCTCACGATCCACCACTGGGTCAGTCATATCCAAAAATCGCATCATAAAAACAGCTAAGAAAAAAACTCGAAACTGCTTTCTGGGCGGGGCGATGACCGAATTTAAAATTCCTGTAAAGTAACAGCTTATGCTATAATCCAACGTGTCCTACGTAGGGTTCGAACGATACTATCGATATTGAGTAAGTATCGATACTTAGGGTATAAAAATGAGTACTTTAATACTCGATACCTTATTTGGTGATTTAACTCGATACTTTGCAAAGTACTCGTAGTATCGAATACTTTTTAAAAAACACACTTTTTAAATTTTTTCTTCCAGTGCTTTCTTTGCTTATATGGATTACTATCATTCAATTTTGTCCATCACTTAAAATAAACTGAAATTGCGTGTAGTCTGTTGCATATCATAAGCCAAATAAGTTAATGTTTAATGGCCATATTCATAAAAAATATAGTAGGTTTAAAGAGCTTAATAAAATGACATTTTCCTGCATTTTGCAGTTTATAAAACTTTTTTATTTTTTGTGAATAAGGCCATAAAACTTTGCGCAAAGTTCGCGAAAATGCAGAATTTTTAGAAACTTTTTGGGTATGCAGTTTTGTAACCTATTCAAATTTACGTGTAGCCAAATTATTACGTGTAGCCTACTACCGTTGGCTTTTAATTCAAA